AGGGCAGCAGGGCTATGGAGGACACACCCAGGGCTGTGAGTAAGTCCCCCCACCTGTGGAGACTCCGGGGTGAAGGGAGGGTCTGGGGGAGCTCAGGGCAGCAGGGCTGTGGAGGACACCCAGGGCTGTGAGGAGGGTAAGTCCCCCACCTGTGGAGACTCTGTGGGCCCCGCCCAGGCCTGGCACCCAGCAGGTACTTCACAGAAGAGCTGTGCCTGGGCAAATGGCTCCCGGGTGTGGTGGGACGTTCAGCAGCATCCCTGGCCGCACCTAGCCACCGCAGCTGGCTGCGCCTTGCTCCTTCCTGAGTCCTGGAAGCTGGGCCTGGATGTGGCACCTGTTGGCCCCAGCTGGCTCCAGGCCCTCAGGGAGTGTCGCAGGGACTGTTGAGCTAGGGTCTGCCTGCTGCTGCTCCCCCCCAGGGAGGAAAAAGGATGGTCAGTGCAAGCCAGGGACCGCCCAGAGGCAGGAGCAGATGCAGGTCGAGTGGACGTGCCCCAAGGTCCAGCTCCACGGGGGTCGGGGGGATGGCCAGGCTCGAGGTGGGTTCCCTAGGGAGGTGCATTCTGAAGGGGACCAGCCCCCCATGCTGCGAAGGGCAGTGAGAAGGATGCAGCCCCCACCAGGCCCAGCCCTTCCTTGGGGCACCGGGGGAGGGTCTCTGGGGAGGGGCTTCGGGGCTGGGCCTGAGCTGTGGATGGAAGGGTGTGCTCTGCGACTGAGGAGAGTTTCAGGGGCCAGCTCTGGGGTTCAGGGGTCACATGATACCAAGCCCTCACCCCAGAAAGCCACCCACAGCCCACACTGACAGTGGACCCCCAACCTCGGCCTCCCACAGCTGCAGGGTCTTCCTCCCCACCAGTTCCTAGAGAGGAGAGATGGGAGTGACAGTCCCCAGAGAGGGGACAGCCAGGAGCCCAGCTCTGGGAAGCCCCCAGGGGCCTGCTTCGATCTCTCCTGGACCCTCCAGGTAACAGATGGGCTCTCAGAGCATCCCCTGCTAGCCCAGAGCTCGAGACCACAGGGGAAAAGCCCCTCCCCTGACCCTAGGAGCTCTCGGGGGCATCGGGCAGCCCAGATTGCAGCCGAACCCAGCGCCAAGCAGAGAGGGCAAGAGAATGACAAGCATGGTCCTGGGGGGCCGTGGACGCATGGTCACTGTGGGAGCAGTGGTGGAGGCGGCTGTGAGTTGGACCCTGGCAGGGAGCAAGACCCAGAAGCTGATGGAGGAAACAGGTAGAGGAAGGGGAGGCTGTTGGGGTGGGGATGGTGGTGCCGGGGGTGTGGCAGGCTCCGGGACCCAGCTGGACACAAGCACCCAGATTCGCCTGGCCAGGCCTGGGCAGCCCAGCCTCAACCACACCAGGCATGGGCTGCCCAGAAGAGGAGCCACTCTGCCTAGGGTGGGCCCCAGAACCTGATGGGCCAGGGTCCTGTCCTGGGATTGTTCCAGAAATCAAGGCTGGAGCTTGAGACTGGGGGCTTCCCCAGGTCTCCCACCCTGAGGGGAGAGCAGCTGGCGGTGGACACCACCCTCAGGGAGCTGAGAGGCCAGAGGTGGAGAGGGGCTGGGGGCTGGATCTGCAGCCCCCAGGCCCCCACTGCAGCCCCCAGGCCGCCCTTGGCTGCCGGCTTAAGGCCTATCTTTAGCCACCATGGCCTCGTAGGGTGCCCTGCAGCCCCCTCTTGGCCCGGGCGAGCCCTGGAGGAGTTCTTCACTTGGATAGGTGCATGGTTTACAGTGAGGGGTTTGGCTTGCCAGCAACCGCGTGCCCCTTGGAAACCCCTTTTTCCAACCCCAGCAGCCCTGCTCCTACCCCCGCAGCCACCCCAGCAGCTAGTCCGAAGCTCCCCGTCTCCAGGGATGCTCCCAGCCCCGCTCCAGCAGAAGACCTTTCTGGAAACACCCTTAGGCTGAGCCTCTGTCCACTCCACTGGTGTAACCAACAATAGGGAGCTCCCAAGGACCCCAAAAAGGCAGACATTGTAAGGGGGAAACTGAGGCCCAAAGTGTCCAGCAAACAGTTGTTCTAGTCTCTGTGAGCTGTTCTAGCAAAAGACTGAACCTGAGGAGAGGGTCATCAGACCTCCCATTTGTCATAACCAAGGCATTGGGAAGTCATGGGTAACCTGGAGACCCACCCCTTGTGACTGGTGTCTGAAGTCAGGGCAGTCAAGGGCGACTGAGCCCTTAACCTAACCCACAAGTGAAGTGCCAGAGGCATTGTGAGTTACAGTATAGAAGAAAAACTTTATTCCATACCCCCAGCTTCTCTGGCCTTGGGGCTCCACCTCCTTCCCAGTTCAACATCCCCTGACCCTTTTCTCATTTGGGGTAGTCGAGTCCCTGGGCTTGGCCAGTGGGCACCTTGCTCAGCTGCCAGGGACCTGCCCTTGCTAGGTGGAAGAAAAGCTGGCATCGGCCGGGCATGGTGGCTCATGCCTGTAATCCCAGCACTTTGGGAGGCTGAGGTGGGCGGATCACGAGGTCAGGAGATCGAGACTATCCTGGCTAACACGGTGAAACCCCGTCTCTACTAAAAATACAAAAAATTAGCCGGGCGTGGTGGCGGGCGCCTGTAGTCCCAGCTACTTGGGAGGCTGACGCAGGAGAATGGCGTGAACCCGGGAGGCAGAGCTTGCATTGAGTGGAGATCGCTCCACTGCACTCCAACCTGGGCGACAGAGCGAGACTCTATCTCAAAAAAAAAAAAAGAAAGAAAGAGAAGAAAAGCTGGCATTGCAGCACATGTCCCCAATTCCGCACCCCCTTCCTGCTTAGAACAGCACCCAGAATTAGCTGGCGCAGCAACATCAAAGACTACATTTCCCAGGCTCCCCTGCCGCCAGGTGTGATCACAAGACTACATTGGGCCCAGGAAGGAGGGAAGATGGAGCAGGTAAACTGGGTGGGAATTCTGGGAAGTCTCCACACAGGGGACAGATTGTGCCCTGCTCTCCTTTGCTTCTGCCTCATTCCTGGAACACAGATGTGAAAGCTGGAGCTCAAGTTGCCACCTGGGACCATGAGGTAAGGCTGGGGGCTTCCCATGGTTGTGGGGCTGTCGTGCCAGCCCTGAGAAAAAGGAAACCCTGTGGATTAAGTGGGTTAGGCAGAGTCGTCTGGGGTTTCTGGGGTCACAGGCAGCCTGTCCTGGGCCTCACTAGGACACACTATGACTATTGAACCATGACTCATGATGCACACTGGGAGTATACCCTGGTCAAAGGAACAGGCGTTGGCAACAAGGAGTTTCAGAATTATCCAGTTCTTGGGTTGACACTTCTCAAAAGCCCCTATCTTCCGCTGCCTCTTCTGTCTCGGGGAGGCCCTCTTCAAAACTTCCCTAAAAATCCCTTCCCTGGCTTAAACCTGGGGCCTCTTGTCTTCTCACCAGAGCAGCTGTCCCCACAGAAACCCCAGGACACCTCCGCCTTTCCCCTTCCTGCTTGGCCTGTCATCTGGTCCGCATCCCTGGCTTGCATCACCAACACCCAGGGGTGGGAGAGGCCAGGACAGAGCCCTCCTCCAAGGGAGTGAGCGAGGAGTCAGAAAAGGCCGGGAAGACTTCTTCTGAGGGATGGAGTCACCATCCGAGCAGAGGGGTCCGGTGAGGCGTGAATACACAGACACACCTGATGCAGGGGGCTCCGTGACTGGAAACTGACACACAGGATTTGCCCTGTAATCATCAGCACAGAGGCAGAGGGGGTGACTTGTCAAATCTGGGACAATTTGAGCATCCTCAAGAACAATGACTAGGGGCCAGGCATTGTCCCAGCACTTTGGGAGGCTGAGGCGGGCAGATCACCTGAGGTTGGGAGTTCAAGACCGGCCTGACCAACATGGTGAAACCCCGTCTCTACTAAAAATACAAAAATTAGCTGGGCGTGGTGGTGTGTGCCTGTAATCCCAGCTACATGGGAGGCTGAGGCAAGAGAATCGCTTGAACCTGGGAGACAGAGGTTGCAGTGAGCTGAGATTGCACCATGGCACTCCAGCCTGGTCGACAAGAGCAAAACTCTACTCCTCCTCATCCTCCAGGAACCCCTGGGTGTCCTCCAGTGCATGGCTGAGGCCAGCCATTGTCTCAGGGCTCGGGGAAGTGCCTGCCGTGACCCTTCAAGTCCACGCTGCACTCTGGTGTTCGCTTTGCCTTCTAATGTGCCCCAGACTGAGAGTGACTTGAAGCGGGGCATGTGGTGGGGCCCCCCGGCCCGGTGCCAGTGTGGCCCACGGAACATGCTTCATAAATCTAAAGGAGCCACTGGGCGTTGGACTGGGAGGGGTGTGCCTGTGCCACGCCTGACCCCCAATCCCAGGCCCACATCCTGAGGGCCACCACATGGTCACCACCCCCAGTGCCTGAGCCTTCCCTAGGGCCGTCCTCCTTAGGATCTGGGCATCTGCCCACCACACCTGTTGTCCTGGGAAGCTGGGAGGCCTGGGGCCCCCACTCTCAAAGCCTAGCCTTCCAGCCACTGTCTCTCTACAGTTACAGAGCGAAGACCCCCCCACCACCCCCGCTACCGTCACCAGAGGAGCAGCCCTGCAGGCCCACACAGTGTGGTCACACCTGGCTTGGGAGACAGCCGCACCCCACATGCAAGGTAGCCCTTGGGAACTTCTGCTCCACACCCACCAGGTGGGGAAGGCCAGAGCTGGCTGTTCAGGGTGTTTTAGTGCCAGACAAAAGCAAGGCCCTGTGGCTGCCCGGGAGGTGGAGCAGGCCACACTGGCCCCATGCACAGGGGCTCTTCGGGTCCCTGGTCCCATCCTCCCAGCTCTTTCCAACTTTGCCCCCCGGCCATTTCTTGCTCTGACCCTCCCCTCCCTTATTCCTGGCCTTGTCTCCCCTGGGCCCAGGCCGTCCCAGACTGACTGGACAAGTTAGCAAATCACCGGCTTTGGCTTCTGGAGGGTCCAGATGGGCCAGGAGAAAGGCTGGTGAACCCACTGGACAGCAGGGTGGTTTCTGATGCACACATCAGGATGTGAAGTTGCGCCCCGTGTCTGCAGGTTGGACCTCACCACTGCTGTGTCTGGGCCGCAGGGAGCTGTTCTGGTGCGTGACTCAGCCGTGGGCTGTTCTGGTGACTTCCTGTCTGAAACCTGCTCTCCTGTCGGTGAGGGGTTCTCTGGGTATGAATCGCTATGCCGGGGTCAGAGCAGGGAGAGCCAGCTCCCTGATGGGCTTCTCAGAGACAACACCCCAGGTGCTGCACGGCCTGGGGCAGCCCCTACTGGTCCTGGAGGCCTGGTAGGAAGAAGCAGGGCTGGTCCACACCCCCAGGCTCCTGCCTGTCCTCCACCCCAGCCTGGCTTCTCCACATGGCAGGGGCAGGGGAGCTGGTACACGGCTGCCAACCCCCCAGCTCATGCCCACAGCTCCTGCCACCCAAGAGGCTCAACTTTCCTTTCCCAGAACCCAGTGAAGGACCCAAAGAGAGGATTCCGCTGACCTCACTTGAATCAGCTATTCCCTGACTGCCTGGCAAAGGCCAGAAGGCATGGAGGGTGACAATGGCCTGAGCTGGGTCCGGGTGCCACTCCTGGACCCCTCAGCTGGGGGTACAGAGGAGCCCCGGTGAACATGACAGACCACCCAGTGGGGCACAGGAGGAGGCAGGTCCCAGGGAGCTGCTGGGGCCACCGACAGGAACCCACAGCTATCCCTAGCCGTCACCCCCGCTGGCCTGATGTGGACTCTGCCTAATGCTGCTCTGAGGGTGGGGCTGCCCTGGCCCAAAGACCCGGGAGGCCAGTGACCCCATGAGCAGCGGCCTGTGGAGGCACGTGTTTGCACCAGATCCCCTAGAGGATCACAGCCCCCTGGGCAAGTGTTTCTGGAAAGCCAAGGTGGACCCTGCCCTGAGACCTGCGCCTCCCGGCCAGGGCAGTGGGGAAGCCCAACTTTCCAGGGATTCCACTGCCACCCACACAAAACCCTCTGAAATCGCTGTTCAGAGGCAGCCTCCAGCCATGCGGCCCTGCAGCAGGGGGCAGCTGTGATCCACGTGTCTGGGGGAAAGTGCAGACTAGGGGCTCAGCCTCCACCGGGCTCTCCTGGCCGTGGGCGCACCCACCCAGGACGGTGGCTGTCTTCACTCAATGACCGTCCCTGCTGCAGTGCTGGGCAGTGTCGCTTGGAGACACTTGTGGTCCCCAGCTGCTTTCCCCAGCCCAGCCCTGTCCCCTCTGCTGAAAGAGCCTGGTTTGGATGGAGCTTGGCAGGCTCTGGAGTGGGCACCTGGTGGGGGGGTCTGTGCCCTGAAACCCAGAAGCAGCTTGGAGGTGAGTGGGGTTGTGGGTGCTGTCCACAGCCAGCTGGCGTTTTCTAAGGAAACTGGGCCCACCAGGGCCGGGAGCCCCACAGTGAGGGGGACTGTCCCAGGCCACTCTGCCTGCCCACCCTGCAGTTCCCACACGGAGAAGCTCACCCGCAGAGCCCCTGGGCCAGGCCAGGCTTGGTTCTGGATGAGGAGCGGTTGAGGTAGGGCTAGGCGAGGAATGTGGAGTGCGGTCGGCTGTTCTTCCCGCATGGCCCTGCCCCAGGAAGGGGGAGGCGGGGAGAGGAGGGTGCTTGTGTGCAGTGGCTGTGCTGAGCCTTCCAGGACATGCAGGTGCCATCCTGGTCCCGGGGCTGCAGTGGGCACACTCGGCCTCTCCACTCCTGGCACCCCGGACAAGGACTACTGGGAGCACACAGCCTCTGGGAAGTCACCCTGCTCCGTGCTTGCCTGGCCCGAGAGCTGGCAACACGAGGCCTGAGCTGCAGAGGAGCTGGATTTTGTCTTTCCAGGGCCCCTCCCTGCCACGTGTCCTGCCTTGCCTGTCTGGGGACAGCCGCCGTGCCGTGCCAGGCCCTAGCCCCTGCCTGGGAGCTCCTGAGTGAGTGGAGCCTGGCTCTGGTGCTGTTATTGCCAACAGAGGTAAGTCTGGGGTTTCCTGCCACTCCCACCCCCAGGAAGATGACGAGATCACACTGTCATCACCAGTGAGATACCCCAGCCCGGGTTGGCTAACCCCAAGCTCAGCCCTGTTTGTGGTTAGGGGAGTTCTAGAGAGAACATAATTGAACCCCTGCTACTTCCTGAAACCTCAGCTAGGACTGCAGGGAGGGGTGTGAGGCCAGCCGCACAGGCGGGGCCCTGGGTAAGTAGCTGGGCTCTGCGCACTGGGGAGTGGGCCTGGGGGCTCAGGCCCTGGGATGGGGCTGGGGGCTGGGAGCTGGAGGGGGCAGAGGGGGATCTGAAGGCAAAGGTGATTTGTTGGTAAAAATGGAGGCTTTGTTGAGGGTTCTTAATCTGGGGTCCCTCCCAAGAGATAACCCAGGACCCCCAGTGACCACAGGTGTGATGGGGGTAGAGGATTTGGGGGAGAGGGACAATCGCTTCCATTGTACCTTTGTCACCACCACCTTCCTGGAGACTTTCTTCTGGAAAAGGCTTCCCTGGCTACTGGGCCAGATGGTGGTGAGTCAGGGGGCTGGACTTGTCCCTGGAATCTCTCCTTGGCCACTTGCTTCCATGATTGGTGGGGGGCACTGAAGGGCCAGGCTTCTCTCTGTGGGGCCTGTGCTGCTTGTGGGGTTACACAGAGGGAGAAGCAGGGCAGTGGGGGCTGTGCTGGGGTGAGTGGCAGTTGGCCCAGTCACGTGACAAGATCCTGGGTCTGGGCAGGTCACCGGCCTCTGGGTTGGTATCCGGCACACAGGGTGCAGCAGTGGGGGCCATAAATTCTGTCAAGTGCATGACATGGGTCTGCACCACTGCAAGGGGCTGGGACTGACTGCTGAAGACCGGCCAGTTGGGCTGAGCACAAAATGATGTTTCAGAAGATTGGCCAGGCCTAGGTGGGAGGGCAGAGGCTCCTGGAAGGAGTTGAGGATAAGGGCTGGGCACAGGGGCTCACACCTGTAATCCCAGCACTTTGGGAGGCCGAGGCAGGCGGATTACCTGAGGTCAGGAGTTCGAGACCAGCCCGGCCAACATGGTGAAACCCTGTCTCTACTAAAAATACAAAAATTAGCCAGGTGTGGTCGAACACGCCTGGAATCCCAGCTACTCAGGAGGCTGGGGCAGGAGAATTGCTTGAGCCCTGGAGACGGAGGTTGCAGTGAGCCGAGATCGTGCCGTTGCATTCCTACCTGGGTGACAGAGCGAGACTCGTCTCAAAAAAAAAAAAAAAAAAAAAAGGAAGAAAAAAAAGATAAGAATAGGGATAGGATAAGATGAGATGGGATAAGATAAGAACTCAGAGTGCCTGAAAGACTCACCTCACCAGCAGTCAAATAAACGCAAATGTGTCTCTGAAAGATACATTAAAAAAAATCTATCAAACTGGGGCCAGGCGCAGTGGCTCACGCTTGTAATCCCAGCACTTTGGGAGGCCAAGGTGGGCGGATCACTTGAGGTCAGGAGTTCAAGACCAGCCTGACCAACATGGTGAAATCCCGTCTCTACTAAAAATACAAAAATTAGCTGGGCGTGGTGGCACACGTCTGTAATCCCAGCTACTTGGGAGGTTGAGGCGGGAGAGTTTGAACCCGGGAGGCGGAGCTTGCAGTGAGCCAAGATTGGGCCATCGCACTCCAGCCTGGGCAACAAGAGCAAACGTCCGTCTCAAAAAAAGAGAATCTATCAAATTGAGAAAAATAAGAAAGTTGACTCTGGGATTTGGACGGGCGTGGTGGAGCAGGGAGATTGGAGCTGGTGACTCAACATTTCCCTCCCTAGGGTTTGTCTCAAACGTGACGGCAGAAACGAGGTCACAGTGAAAGACGGAAATGGCTAGAAATGGCCAGCAACCGTGAAACAGCTTAGAAATTACAGGCAGTCCAGCCGGGTGCAGTGGCTCACGCCTATAATCCCAGCACTTTGGTAGGCTGAGGTGGGTGGATCACCTGAGGTCAGGAGTTCAAGACCAGCCTAACCAATATGGTGAAACCCTGTCTCTACTAAAAATATAAAATTAGCCCGGCATGGTGGCACATGCCTGTAATCCCAGCTACTTGGGAGGCTGAGGCAGGAGAATCACTTGAACCCAGGAGGCGGAGGTTGCAGTGAGCCGAGATCGTGCCATTGCACTCCAGCCTGGGAAACGAGAGCGAAACTCCATCTCAAAAAATAAAGAAAGAAAGAAATTACAGACAATCCACAAGACAGACCTCAGCAGCCTGAGGAGCTGTCTTTGGCACACAGGATGGAATGAGGAACTGCTCCCTGCACGTGGCAGGGGTCAGGGCTCCTTCTCCGTCCTCCTGTGTCTGTCTGAAAAGTTTCATAATAAAAAGCTACAAAATAGGCCGGGCGTGTGGTGGTTCACGCCTGTAATCCCAGCACTTTGGGAGGCCAAGGGGGACGGATCAGCTGAGGTCAGGAGTTCAAGACCATCCTGACCAATATGTGAAACCCCATCTCTATTAAAAATACAAAAAATTAGCCAGGCGTGGTGGCGGGCACCTGTAATCCCAGCTACTCGGGAGGCTAAGGCAGGAGAATCACTTGAACTCCGGAGGCAGAGGTTGCAGTGAGCCGAGATCGTGCCATTGCACTCCAGCCTGGGCAACAAGAGCGAAACTCCACCTCAAAAAAAAAAAAAGTTACAAAATAGATTTTAAAAGACTGGAGGAGCACAGCAACTGCAGGCCAGAGAGCTCCAGGGACAGTGGCTGGGTGAGGTCACGCTAGATCCTGTTACTGGAATGTCCATCCCAGCAGCATGTGGCGCTTCTCTAATCTGGAAAATGGATTCATTGGCCGGGTGCGGTGGCTCACGCCTGTAATCCCAGCACTTTGGGAAGCTGAGGCAGGAGGATAGTTTGAGCCCAGGAGTTCGAGACCTGCCTAGGCAACATGGCGAAACCCTATTTCTATTAAAAATACAAAAAATTAGCTGGACATGGTGGTGTGCCTGTAGTCCCAGCCACTCGGGAGGCTGAGGCGGGAGAATCGCTTGAACCTGGGAGGTAGAGGCTTCAAGTGAGCCAAGATCGTGCCACTTTACTCCAGCCTAGGTGGCAGAGCAAGACTCCATCTTAAAAAAGAAAAAAGAAAAGGCAAAAGAAAAAGAGAAAGAATGAACATGGGTTCGTGGAAGAAGCACGGAAAGTGCAAGGCAGAGCAGCCTCGGAGCCCGCACACTGAGAGCAGGAGAGAGGCGGGCTGGACACTGGAGAGAGAAGTCCAGAGAGCAGTGGAGGGCTGGCCTCAGTGGGCTGCCAAGGTGTGGCTTAAAGATGGAGTTGAACAGGGATGCATTTGCCCAGCATGGAGGCTGGGAGATGAGGGACTTGGTCATTTGCTGAGGGGAGGTGGAGGCAGGGGCCCAGGGCCAGCAGGGGTGGGAGATGCAGCTGGAGCTCAGGGGTGGATGGATGGGGGTGTCAGGCTGACCTGGGCCCACCCACACTGTGGCCTTGTGGCTGGAGTCATCCAAGGGACCTCACCATGGCCATCATGTCTGGCCATGCTCCTCTGAATCCAGGTGGAGTTGGACGGTGATAAGGGGGCTTCAGCCTGTCACAGTCCCTCAGAGCAGACCAGAAACAGAGTTCCCCAGAGTCCACCAGGCCAGGCTGGCATTGCTGGTGCTGTGAGCATGGTAGGCTGTCCCCTACCCGAGCCTCCGGCGGGCTAGGGGCACCTTGCTGCCATTTCAGGAGTGAAAGTCTGCACTGGGCACCTTTCCCACCGGGCTTGGTCGCTCCCACCCATCCCACAGCTGAGAGGAGCCCCACCGGTGGGCCAGACAGCCGGGGCGGTAAGAGGAAGGGGCGGTCTCCATGCACAGCCCAGGCAGGGCTTCCCCTGCCCCAGGAGGGCGGTGCCTGCTTCCTGAGTGGAACAACACAGGAAACCTCTGCCTGGCCTTGTCCTTCCACTTGAAGACCCAGCCCCAGGGGAAGCTGAGAGAAGACCTGGGCCCCACGGCACCCTCCCCAGGAAGAGTAGTGCCTGAAATGTGGGCAGCCTGCTCTAACCCATGCCGCTTTCTGTGGAGGAAACAGCCCTGGCCCCGGGCCGGGACAGACCACTACACTGCAGCTGGCGGGTGGGGCCACTGGGCTGGCCGGAGAGAGGGCCCTGAGCCCCTATCCTGAGCTCACTCACCTCGAGGGGAGGCAGAGGCTCCCCGAGGCAGTAGGAGTAGCAGGTGTGGCAAACTGATGGTGAGCAGGTGCTGGCGGGACCCCGGACCCTTGTCCAGAAAGGCCCTCAGAAGAGGCCGGTGGGCTGCCTGAGGCTGTGGACCTGTCCGGCAGGGAATGCCAGACAAAGCTTGAATGTGTTCTGAGAAGTGAAGAGCTGGTGCAGGGCTCCCCCGACGCCCAAGCCTGGTTGGCCATGCATGGTGAGGAGCTGGACCTCGGTGCGAGCCAGTTGGGATGTCCCAGTGGGCCCAGCTCTCTGGCTGCCCTGCCCTGGGTTGGTCCCACCAGGCCTCCTGCTGGGCCCACTGACTCTTTCCAGGCATCCTTGCCAGGCTGTCGGTGCCCAAAGGTCAGGCACGTGGTGGGATCTGGACACCAGCAGCTCGAGCCACATGGGCCACACGGGACCAGTTGGATGGGAAGGAAGGTGGCTCCGGCTCCTGCCCCTGGCTAGTCTCTGCTCTCAACATACAGGCCTGGAGCCCAGAGAGGCCTCTTTGTGAAAGCCTCCGCCTGGGGCTGGGCCAGGAGGGGAATGTGCATTTTCACTTCAGCTGCCACTTCCTTCGGTTTTGCAGAAGTGCTTGCAGCCCTCTGCCCCAGGGTTGCTGGCTGGCATTGGGGTGACCGGGCGGCACAGCCCTGGACCAGCAAGAGCTCATCCTCCCAGGTTTGGGAGGGTTTCCAGAACCCTTGGTCCAGTTAAAGGCAGACTCCCCGGGAGCCCCTTCCTGGCCGGCTCAGTCATTCTGATGGGGTCCAGGGGCCTCAGGCAGCAGCTCCGTGTGCTCACTCCAGCTCATTTGACAGGAGAGGTCCCTGTCTGGTGTTATTCAGAATTTGAAAGGTGGGGAGGGGGCGGCTGCAGAATTGGAGTAGACACCTGTGAGCAAAAGTGTGCGGGCTTCTAGGGCCCCTGGAGCGGGGCTCGGCAGCTGAGGAGGGAAGCCAGGCCTGGTGTGAGCCTGGTGGGGCCCCCCACACCCCTGGGGCTCAGAAGGAACTGGACTGGTCGCAGGTGGCTCTGGCGTGTCCCCAGCCTACTCAGCCCCCCTGCCTGACTGGGGGTCTGCCTTCCTTGGCCCTTCTGGTTCCACTCACTGCTTCATCACCTACTGACCCCTCTGTTTTGGGCATGGCCACAGAGCCCTGCATCTCGGAGCTGGGCGCAGCAGCCAGACGACAGGGCCACACAGCTCTTAGCAGAGCAGCAGCCGGGAGGGCAGCGTCCAGCACACAGGCACCCAAGGGAGAGTCTGAAGACCCTCAGCGCTGCCCCACCATTTCCACTCCGGGGGCTGGCCCGAGATGCAGGGAGCAGTGCATATTTATTCCAGCCACTGGGAGGGTGGGGGCAGAATGGGGAGCCCAGGAACCCCTCCAGCCCACACCACCCACCGCCAAGGGGGCATCACTTTGGAGATGGCTTTTCTGGATTCTTTCTTGACTCAGTGTCTCATTTTTTAATGTGTTTTCAAGGTATTGCTTTAAATTCTCCATGAGTTAACGAGCTTCCTGTAGTCATGGCTTCCTGTTTTCCAGTTGTTAAAAAATGACGAGACAAGTCTCAATCATTTTAGGAGTTTTATTTGCTGAAGTTGAGGCCACGTATCCGTGACACAGCCTCAGGAAGTCCTGATGACATGCCCAGGGTGGTCGGGCACAGCCTGGTTTCATGCATTTTAGGGAGACAAGAGATATTAGTCAATATATGTGAGACTTACATTGGTTCCGTCCAGAAAGGTGGGGACAACTCGAAGCAGGGAGGGGGCTTCCCAACCGTCTGTCTCTCACCTACCTGTGGGTAGGTCACAGGTAGATGGGAGACAAATGGTTGCATTATTTTCAGTTTCTGTTAAGTCTTTCCAAAGGAGGCCATCAGAATATGCATCTGTCTCAGTGAGCAGAGGGATGACTTTGAATAGAACGGAAGGCAGATCGGCCCTGAGCAGTTCCCAGCTTGAAGGGGCCCAAGATACTTTTCTTTAACAGAAATATACTTGAAAGGGCAGCTGGGGATGTCAACACACAGGCAGCCCTACCTGCTGGCCCAGAGCCCTTGGTGTGGGTGTGCCTGGTTTCTGCCTCACTTTCGAGCAGCTTCCAGAGAATTCTTGCAAGAGCCCTGTGGGACGGGTGGGAAGAGCAAATGGCTCCAGGGAGCGCCTCTGGCCAGCCTCTCAATATACAAGCCTCAGGCCCAAAGGGGCCTTGCTGTGTAGGGGCTCTGCCTATAGCTGGGGCCCGGCCCTGCGCTTTGAGGCGAGTGTGTCCCAGGGGACTGACTGCACCTGCTGGCTTCCCATGAGGGTCTCGGCTGACAGAGGGCAGTACCAGGCAGCATGGGGTGGGGGTCGGGCCTGGCACTAGGCAGGCAGGATTGGAGTTAGTGAGGCAGCTGCCAGGCTCAGCCTCCATCCCTGCACTGCAGGGCCCGGAAACAGCAGAGTGAGACCCTCAGGCTTTGCAGGGCTTTGGGAGAGGCACAAACACCATCTGAGAATGGGTTCAGGGCACTCTCCTCCCTGCAAGCCCTCTTTGGCTGGTCAGGGTGGTGCCTGTTTTAGAGGCACCTCAGGTTAGGGAAGGAAGCAGAGGGACAGGCCCCTGGATGCCCTGCACCATCTGCCAGCATGCCCTGAGCCATCTGCTGCCCGCCCGCCATGCCTCCCTCCTCCGGGTCCCTCATGCCATGGGTGACACAGCTTCCAGGCCAGGTGCACGTCACACCTCGGGTAGCCAGGAAAAATTCCTAGAAGCGGTTTATCCAGGTCAAAAGTTAAGCACATTTAAGATTTTTGGAAACATGTTGCAAAATTTTGCTGCAAGTCAATTCATACTTCCATCAGTCCCGTGTAAGCATACCCACTGCCTACTCTCAAACACTATGAGTTTAAAAGTTCTTTATTTTTGCCAACATGATAAGCCAAAAAGATTTTAAAAGGCTGTCTTTCAGATATTCATGTTTGCATTTCTTTGATTAGAAGTGGAGTTGAGCATTTTTCAGATTTTAGGAGCTTTTTCTTTTTGGGACGGGGTCTCTCTCTGTAGCCTAGGCTGGAGTACAGCAACGCAATCACAGCTCACGGCACCCCTACCTCCTGGGCTCAAGCGATCCTCCCAGCTCAGCCTCCTGAGTAGCTGGGACTACACGTGTGCACCATCACGCCTGTTGGTATTTTTGTAGGTATGGGATGTTACTGTATTGCCCAGGCTGGTCTTGAACTCCTGGACTCTAGCAATCCTCCCACCTCAGCCTCTCAAAGTGCTGGGATTTACAGGCACGAGTTACCACACTGGGCCTTTAGGGGCTATTTTTATGTCTTCTGTGAAAGCTCATCAACTTTCTTTTCTCTCCCGGCTTTATAAAGGTATAATTGACAAGCAACAACAGTACATAGGCCAGGTGCAGTGGCTCACACCTGTAATCCCAGCACTTTGGGAGGCCGAGGTGGGTAGATCATTTGAGGTCAGGAGTTTGAGACCAGCCTGCCCAACATGGTGAGACCCTCGTCTCTACTAAAAATACAAAAATTAGCTGGGTATGGTGGCAGGCAACTGTAGTCCCAGCTACTCAGGAGGCTGCGGCAGGAGAATAGTTTGAACCCAGGAGGCAGAGGTTGCAGTGAGCCGAGATTGCGCCACTGCACCCCAGCCTGGATGACAGAGCAAGACTCCATCTCAAAAAAAAAAAAAAAAAAAAGAATCGTACATAGTCGCAGTGCCTGATGTGATGTTTGGATGCCTGTTGGCTTAGAACCTTGCTTGTATTTATCCCGTGGGATGCAACGGCAGATCCTTAACACTTAAAAAACACCTGCACGTTGTGCACATGTACCCTAGAACTTAAAGTATAATAAATAAATAAATAGTAAAAAAAAACACATACAAATCAACAGGGCACTTAGTAAATTAGTAAATACTCACTAGCCATTTTGTCAGTGGGTTAACTTGTCATTTAATCTGATTTCCCTAAAGCAATTTCAACCTACTCTTTCTCCAGGTCATTTTAAACTCTCAGAGTGAACATCTTGATAGGACCGACAAGACGCATGACATGTACTTAGAAAGCTTATCTTAGAGCCACACTGAGATTGGAGCCTGCAAAATAATGCCAGGTGAGAGAGCCTTCTCCAACTTTGAACATGTAAGAGGAAGCCCATGAGAATTTTTCTATGAAGCATGTTGTCTCATAATTCAAAAATTAACACATAAAAATAGATTATCGAGATAAAAATTAGCTCAACAATAATAAATCTAGAGGTGCTACGTGGAGAAATGAAGGGCTGATTTCGTAATTCTTTTGTGAAGTTCTGGGAAGCCAGGAATGGGAATGAGGGCATAGCTGGTGGCTCCGGGGAGGGCGACGCAGTACTGAGTCAGGGGGCTGTCCCACAGGTCCCAGGGGAGCCCTGCATGGTCCAGGCCATGAGGAGCTGACCAGCAGCTCCCCCTGATTCATGCATCTCCTGGGGCCGTTGCTCCTACTTCTGACCTGCCAGGAAGACTCTCTTCCCAGGAGGTCACTTGTGGCAGGAGGCGGGGGAGTGGGGGACATCCTCCTCACCAGATGGGCACAGAGCCACAGACACCACGGACCTGGTGTCCAGAGGTGAAGGTCCCAAAGCTGCGTGAGGCCTGGAGCAGGGGGTGTGGGACTGAGGGACACTGAGGCCCTGACTGAGACCACACGGGCGAGACAGTCTGTCGGGCGGGGGAGCCGTAGGAAGTTGGGGAGGGGCCGGACCAGAGCGGCTCTTGCAGGCTGAAGCTGGAGCGGCCCCTCTGGCCACCCACCGGGGTCTTGCCTGCGTCTCCCCTTGTGTTTTGGATGCTGGCTCTGCCTCCCAGGCGTGTGATTGTCATGAAAGAGATGGGCCTGTGTCGGGGCCAGAAACTGCCTCTGAGCTCAGGACTCGCACAGCGAGGCTGGGGCGCTCGTTTGATGGGAAAAGAGCCGTCTGGGTCAAGAACAGTGAGTGCAGACACAGGCGTTGGGCCTCCCACCTGAGAACTGTCTTCATTGCCCCCCGCCGCCCACCACAGCCCTGTGTCTTGGGCGAAGTGGTGACAACTGGGTGTGAGACAGCCCAGTCATACCCACTCTCTCCCTCTGCCCAGGGAGGAAGGTGAGCAAGGGGCACGACACTCACATCTGGAGAAACCCAACAAGCGCAGCGAGGCTGTGGGGAGACCGGAGCCCTGCACACCGCCGGCGAAGGTGGGCTGGCGCGGCCACTGTGGAGAACAGCGCGGAGAGATGCCCCAGAAGATGAGACGAAACTGCCATGAGATCCAGCAATGCCAACTGTGCGTCTGACCCAGGAGAACGGAAAGCAGGGACGTGAACAGACCTCCTCCTGTTCTTAACACCGTTATTCTCAGCAGCTCAGCTAAGGCTCAGAGGCAGCTGAGCGTCTGTCAGCAGAGTCATGGATGAGCAGAATACGGCACACGCCACGTTTGGAGGATTGTTCACAATGGAAGGGCACAATGGAATATATATATATAAATTTTTTTTTTTGGTGAGACCCTGGAGGACACACTGAATACAATGGAATACCGTCCTGCCTTTGAAAGGAAGGGAAATCCTGGCACACGCTGCAACAGGAGGGAGCTTGAGGACATCGTGGCGAGTGGAGCAAGTGAGACACGGAACGACACACGCTGAGGAGACGCACAGATGCCCACCCAGGTGGGGAGGTGACAGGAGAGCCCAGCGCACAGAGACAAAGTGGAATGGAGGCCTGGGGGCTGGGAGCGAATGCGGAGTGAGTGCTTCCTGGGGCAGAGTCTCTGTTTGGGAAGACGAGAAGGTTCTGCCGACGGATGTTGGCGATGGTGGCAGAAGAATGTGAACGTGCCCAGTGCTGCTGAAAAGCGGTTACAATGGCAAATTCCTTGTTATGTGTATTTTGCCACAATTTTCCACTTTTTCAATTTTTTTTTCCTTGAGATTGAGTCTCACTCTATCACCCAGGCTGGAGTGCAGTGGCACAATCTCGGCTCACTGCAGCTTCTGCCTCCCAGGTTCAAGGGATTCTCCTGCATCGGCCTCCCAAGTAGCTGGGATTACAGGTGTCCGCCACCATGCCTGGCTAATTTTTGTATTTTTAGTACAGATGGGATTTCACCATGTTGGTCAGGCTGGTCTGGAACTCCAGACTGCAGGTGATCCACCTGCCTTGTCCTTCCAAAGAGTTGGCATTAAAGGCATGAACGGCCCATGGGGCCAATTTTTTTTTTTTTTTTTTTTTTTTTTTTTGAGATGGAGTCTCGCTCTGTCGCCAAAGCTGGAGTGCAGTGGCACAATCTCTACCTCCCAGGTTCATGCCATTCTCCTGCCTCAGCCTCCTGAGTAACTGGGACTACAGACAACTGCCACCATGCCTGGCTAACTTTTGTATTTTTAGTAGAGACAAGGTTTCACCAGGTTGGCCAGGCTGGTCTCGAACTCCTGACCTCGGGTGATCTGCCTGCCTTGGCGTCCCAAAGTGCTGGGATTACAGGCGTGAGCCACCAGCTGAATTTTTTAAATGCACAAAAATAAGTGGCCTGGTGCGGTGGCTCACACCTGTAATCCCAGTACTTTGGGAGGCCAAAGCGGGCAGATCACCTGAGGTCAGGAGTTCGAGACCAGCCTGGCCAACCTGGTGAAACCTTGTCTCTACTAAAAATACAAAAATTAGACAGGCGTGGTGGCGAGTGCCTGTAGTCCCAGCTATTTGGGAGGCTGAGGCAGGAGAATCACTTGAACTTAGGAGGCAGAGGTTGCAGTAGCAGAGATTGCGCCACTGCACTCCAGCCTGGGCATCAACGGTGAGAGACTCCATCTCAAAAAAAAAAAAAAAAAGCAACACAATGGGGCCTCAGGGCTGACCTTGTTCGGGGTGACTGGCCCCACTGTGCTGGAGGTCAACAGGCCCTCAAGTGTAGGAGGGAGGTCAAGGAAACTACGACATCCGCATGTGGAAGGTTACTGAGGCCAAGGGGCTGGACGGTACCCAGGGACCCCTGACCTCGAGGGAGCTGGATGGTGCCCAGGGACCCCCGACCTCACACCAGGGCACAGCTGAAGTTTGCCCCGCCTGGGGCTGCTGCAACCTGAGAAGCGTGGCAACGCTCTGTCCATCCTTCGGGTGCTGAGGCCAGGTCTGTCCGCGGCTTCCTGCTGATCTGGAGGTTCCATGATCTGTAGCCACAGAAGGCCCAGAAGCATGAACTCAGCCGGAGTGGGCAGCCAGGACACTGGAGCCAACAGTGCTGGCAGAACTCTGGGAAGTCACGCCACTGCACACCCTGCGTGACCTCTAGCAACCCTCTGGCTGGAGAGGAAGAGTTTCTGACCTCGGAGAGCTGTGTTTGAGGCAGGTTGCTGAGATAACTTTGATCTCCTTTTCTTTTGCCCTCTCCCACATTTAAGGACTTTTTTGGACTCCATTGGGCCCACCAGATAGTCCAGAATAATTTCTTTTCTTTTTTTTTTTTTTTTTTGAGAGGGAGTCTCGCTCTGTGGCCCAGGCTGGAGTGAGCGGCGCCATCTTGGCTCACTACAAGCTCCGCCCCCCGGGTTCCCGCCATTCTCCTGCCTCAGCCTCCCGAGGAGCTGGGACCACAGGCGCCACCACCACGCCCGGCTAGTTTTTTGTATTTTTAGTAGAGACGGGGTTTCACCATGTTAGCCAGGATGGTCTCGATCTCCTGACCTCGTGATCCTCCCGCTTCGGCCTCCCAAAGTGCTGGGATTACAGGCGTGAGCCACCGTGCCTGGCCGAATAATTTCTTTATTTTACTGTCAGCTAGTTAGCAATCTTCATTCAACTTGCAACCTTAGTTCCCCTTTGCCATGTAACCTACCATATCTACATGTCCCAAGAATGAGGATTCAGACTTCTTTTGGGTGGGGTCTTTATTCTGCCTGCCACCAAGATGAGGAGTATCACATGACATGTAATAAGAAGATCAATTCACCAAGAAGACAGAACCATTTGTGACTCCTATGCCCCAATTAACAATAGCTTCAAATACATAAAGCAAGCATTGAGAGACTACAAGGAGAAGTGGACAAATCCACCACCCCTGCAGGAGCTTTTAATTGTCTTTTTTAGTAATTGATAGTTCACACAGCCAGAGATGTGGTAAGACTACAGATTAGCCGGGCGCAGTGGCTCACACCTGTAATCCCAGCACTTTGGGAGGCCAAGGAGGGCAGATAACCTGAGGTCGGGAGTTCAAGACCAGCCTGACCAACATGGAGAAACCTCATCTCTACTAAAAATACAAAATTAGCCGGCCTTGGTGGTGCATGCCTGCAATCCCAGCTACGCAGGAGGCTGAGGCAGGAGAATCCCTTGAACCCGGGAGGTGGAGGGCGCAGTGAGCTGAGATCGCACCATTGCACTCCAGCCTGGGCAACAGAACGAGAGACTCCATCTCAAAAAAAAAAAAAAAAACAACAAAAAACAACTACAGATTAGGAATTAGGATGAGGCAGTGCCCAGCTATGGGGCGAGATGGGGAGTGGAGGTAAAGTGGGAACAGCTCTGGAAGGGTGTATATGGTAGCAGCGCCTAACAGACTGCTTAGAAGAGCACTCACACAGCAATTACAGGATCAACATTATTTTCAAACACACAAGCAACTTTTTTTTTTTTTTGAGACAGAGTCTCACTCTTGTTACCCAGGCTGGAGTACAGCAGCATGATCTCAGCTCACTGCAACCTCCGCCTCCCGGGTTCAAGTGATTCTCCTGCCTCAGCCTCCCGAGTAGCTGGGATTACAGGTTGAGCCAGCACGCCCAACTAATTTTTTAAAATTTTTAGTAGAGACAGGGTTTCTCCATGTTGGCCAGGCTGGTCTCAAACTCCTGACCTCAAGTTATCTGCCTGCCTCAGCCTCCCAAAGTGCTGGGATTATAGGTGTGAGCCACTATGCTGGGCCTCAAGCAACACTTTTGAAAACTGACCTCAGTGAGTTACAAAGATTCAGTATTACCCAGACGCAATGGCTCACACCTGCAATCCCAGCACTTTGGGAGGCTGACACAGGCAGATCACCTGAGGTCAGGAATTCAAGACCAGCTTGGCCAACATGGTGAAACCCCATCTCTATTAAAAGTACAAAAATTAGCCAGGCGTGGTGGCACGTGCCTGTTATCCCGGCTACTTGGGAGGCTGAGGCAGGATAATTGCTTGAACCCAGGAGGCAGACGCTGTGGTGAGCCGAGGTTGCGCCATTGCACTCCAACCTGGGCCACAAGAGCGAAACTCCATTTAAAAAAAAAAAAAAGAAAAAAATGATTCCATATTGCCCAGCCTGCATTCTTCGCCCATGAGGCTGCTGGGTTGGAGATCCGCTATCTAATAATTGCTCTAAAAAATCCATTTGGAAATGTTTTAAACACCCGCGTGTGTCTAGTCTGAGCTACCATGAAGCTTCTATCCTTCCTTCCCACAGTGGAGTCTCCCAGGTGGTTTCCAGGGACTCCCGTTCTCACTCTTGTCTCTGTCCTACAGGAAACGCCACCCCAGTGACCAGCACTACCCCGTGGGCCTCGCCGGGCCTCCCCGCCAAGACCTGCAACAACGTGTCCTTCGAGGAGAGCAGGATAGTCCTGGTCGTGGTATACAGCGCAGTGTGCACGCTGGGGATGCCGGCAAACTGCCTGACTGCGTGGCTGGCACTGCTGCAGGTGCTGCAGGGCAACGTGCTGGCCGTCTACCTGCTCTGCCTGGCGCTCTGCGAGCTGCTCTACACCGGCACGCTGCCGCTCTGGGTCATCTATATCCGCAACCAGCACCGCTGGACCCTGGGCGTGCTGGCCTGCAAGGTGACCGCCTACATCTTCTTCTGCAACATCTACGTCAGCATCCTCTTCCTGTGCTGCATCTCCTGCGACCGCTTCGTGGCCGTGGTGTACGCACTGGAGAGTCGGGGCCGCCGCCGCCAGAGGACCGCCATCCTCATCTCTGCCTGCATCTTTATCCTCGTCGGTATCGTTCACTACCCGGTATTCGAGATGGAAGACAAGGAAACCTGCTTCGACATGCTGCAGATGGACAGCACGATTGCCGGGTACTACTACGCCAGGTTCACCGTTGGCTTTGCCATCCCTCTTTCCATCATCACCTTCACCAACCACCGGATTTTCAGGAGCATCAAGCAGAGCATGGGCTTAAGTGCCGCCCAGAAGGCCAAAGTGAAGCACTCGGCCATCGCGGTGGTTGTCATCTTCCTGGTCTGCTTCGCCCCGTACCACCTGGTTCTCCTCGTCAAAGCCGCTGCCTTTTCCTACTACAGAGGAGACAGGAATGCTGTGTGCGGCTTGGAGGAAAGGCTGTACACAGCCTCTGTGGTGTTTCTGTGCCTGTCCACGGTGAACAGCGTGGCTGACCCCATTATCTACGTGCTGGCCACGGACCATTCCCGCCAAGAAGTGTCCAGAATCCATAAGGGGTGGAAACACTGGTCCATGAGGACAGACATCACCAGGCTCACCCACACCAGGGACATCGAGGAGCTGCAATCGCCCATGGCCCTTGCAGACAACTATACCTTCTCCAGGCCCGTGCACCCACCAGGGTCACCAAGCCCCACAAAGAAGCTGATTGAGGAGTCCTGCTGAGCCCACTGTGTGGCAGGGGGGATGGGAGGTTGGGGGTCCTGGGCCAGCAGTGTGGCTCCTGTCCACTAAGCCCACCAGCCACAGTGCCCATGTCCCCTCTGGAAGACAAACTACCAATTTCTTGTTCCTGAAGCCACTGTCTCCATGACCTCTGGCCCCAGGCTTTCCCACATGGAGGTGGCTGCATGCCAAGGGGAGGAGCGATACCTCCAGGCTGCCGGGAACCCAGATTGCGTGTGGCAGGCAGCGGGGCCTCTTCACCAGCAGCCCTCCTGGTTGGCTCCCTTGGCTGTGGGCAGGGAACAGGGCTGCGGGCAGAGGTACCTAGTGGCTGCCCTGTTCGCATCAGGGGTGATGACTTTATTTGCAGGGCATTTCTGCAAGCATTGCTCGGATGCAGTGGCACATTGTGGGCCCTCTGGGCTCCTGCCTCAGAACATCAGTGGGCACCATGCTGGGGGTCACCCAGCACCGTGGCAGCGCCCAGCAGGGCATAGGGCAGCCTACCACCTCCAAGGGGGCAGGAGTCCTCATCTGGGACTGGGTCTGTGCTGAGCTGGAGGGCCTCTAGGCAGATGTGGGGCAGGGTGGCCAGCTGCTCCAGCTCCCAGAGGGCAGCCCAGACATCCTCAAGCGGGAGCCCCAAACGTCCACGCCCAGAACGACAGTTGGCAGGACAGGCATGACACAGCCATGTCAGAGGCAAGGGGTGCCAGGAGTCCCCAGCCGCATCCTTGGGGAGAAGTTGGTGAGGGGTCCGCACAGGGTGGGGCCCCCACCTGCAGCACGTCACCGAGGCGAGAGTGCAGCAGCTGGCCTGCTTGTCTGGTGGAGAAAGCCAGCTCCCTGCACCCTCGGGCCGAGTCAGATCTGGGTCTGCCCCGAAGGCCTTGCCTAGGCCAGGTCACACTGATGCCCTGGTTTCCCCATCTGTAAAATGGGGCCAATGACACCTACCTCGCTGGGTCACCATCGAGATCAATCCTCCTCCCTGCCCTGACACCTCGGGCACATCGCGTGCACTCAGAGCACAGAGGCAGGCAGATGCAGCACCTGGACGGGGAGCCCAGCGCCCAGAACAGCGCGGGGCTTCCAGGGAGGCGGTGCGGGGCGGTGGGGCTGAGCCACGCTCTCGTTTTGTCAGGCAGCTATGCAGTTGCTCTTCCTTGTTTTGTTTTTCTTGTTTTTTTAATATTTATTTTTTTAGAGACAGGACTTTGCTCTGTTGCCTGGGCTGGAGAACACTGGCACTGTCATAGCTCACTGCAGCCTCAAACTCCTGGGCTCAAGCGATCCTCCCCCCTCAGCCTCCTGAGTAACTGGGACTTTGACAGGCATGCACCACCACACCCAGTCAAAACAGCCGTCTTCCCCTTAAGAGTCATCAGAAAAATACATTAGGAAAATGTGTTTAGAAATAAAAGCACAAGGCAGGGCGCAGTGCTCACGCCTGTCATCCCAGCACTTTGGGAGGCCGAGACGGGAGGATCACTTGAGGCCAGGAGTTTGAGACCAGCCTGGGCAACATGGCAAAACCTTGTCTCTTTTTTTGGAATATAAAAAAATAATAATAATAAAAATGCATTTTAACTTTTACAGTTAACATTTCTCCTACTGTGAGAGGAGTGTGCCCCTAGGCTCCCATGACAGCCGTGACCAGGGACTTGAAAAGTTGGGGCTGAGGTTCTGGACCAGTCTGGAACATTCAGGGCTGGGGCGAGAGGGACCATAACGATGTCCAGCCGGGGCTTTCCTGTGGCTGACCAGTTCCCACAAGTTGATGGCTTAAAACAACAAACCGGGCTGGGCACCGTGGCTCACACCTATAATCCCAGCACTTTGGGAGGCCGAGGTGGGCAGGGCACATCACCTGAGGTCAGGAGTTTGAGACTAGCCTGACCAACATGATGAAACTCCGTCTCTACCAAAAATACGAAAAAAAATTATCCGGGTGTGGTAGCATACACCTGTAATCCCAGCTACTCCAGAGGCTGAGACAGGAGAATCGCTTGAACCTAGGAGGCAGAGGTTGCAGTGAGCTGTGATCGCACCATTGCACTCCAGCCCGGGTAACGAGCAAAATTGCTTCTCAAAAAACAAAACAAAACAAAACAAAAATGGTTCTCTCACAGCTCTGAAGGCCAGAGTCCACTTTTTCACCTTTTGCTGCCACAGAGCAACAAATAAGAGCCTCACTCCCATGCCAGATCCCAGCATTGGGGACCGGGCACCGTCTCACCCACCGGTAGGGACAGCAGGGCTGGGCTGAGATACCCAGAGTACCTGGCTCAAGTGAGGGACTGCCTGAACTGGCTGCTGTCACAGTGGCAGGACAGTCACCAGGCATAGCCAGGTAAGGTGGTACCTGCAGCCCCAGCTGTTCAGGAGGCTGAGGTGGGAGGATCATTTGAGCCTGGGAGGTGGAGGCTGTGGTGAGCTAGGACTGCGCCACTGCCACACAGGGAGGCCAGGAGACAAAGGCCCGATGGGACCTGGGGGTGACACCTCTGTGGGGGTTTCAGAGGGCTCCTGGGAGCAATGTCTGCGGCAAAATTTAAAAATGGACCCCGGGCCTGTGGGACCCACGACAGCCACGGTCAGGTGGAGAAACTCTGTACAAAGACAAACCACTCAGAGTGAAACCCGGGGGTCGGGGCTTACCTGACGGGAGGGGCAGCTACGGCGACCTTGCCCAGGGTGAGGCCCAAATGGGACCAGGCACCCAGGAAGGGAGGCCCAGCCCAGCCCTTAATGCTGAGACCCTCGAGGCTGTGGGCGGAGGGCAGCAGGCTGAGTCCCTGCAGGACAGGTGCGGCTGGGGAGGTGGAGGTTATGGGCCTGCCTCGCTGCTCACCACCCAGTGTCTGCTCACCGCCCTGTGTCTGCTCACCGCCCTGTGTCTGCTCTCTGCCCCTCATCTGCTCTGGCAGTGAGAGAGGGTCACGGCATGGCTTTGTCATCAGCCACTGACCACTGACCACAGGCCCTGGCCCTGTCATCCTGCTTGTCCTGCTGGTGGGAGCTTCTGAGGTCGCCAGCGCTAGGAGCTGCCCTGTGTGGAGTCTGCACTCACTCACCATCTACTCCTTCCTTCACCCCGCTTGCCCTCACTCAGGCACCCCCCCACAAGGTGCTCCTGGGGCACCCCAGGTAGTGAGGAGGCCACAGTAAATGTCACTGTGAGCCATGCAGGGAGGCGGGAATGAGGAGGGGGAGCCCCGAGGGCCACCCCTGCCTCCAGCACCATGCCCTGCCCTCCAAGCTCGAGCCACAGTTGCCTCTTCAGACAGCGTCCAGGAGGGGCAGCGCTGCTCTGCTCACAGCCCTGTCGTTATCTGAGTAACAGTGACAGGGAGAGAGGACCACACGCCTCCCCGCTAGCTGGAGAGAGGCCCCTCGACCTATGGAACTGTTCTCCCAGGTCCTACTGTAACAAAGACACCTGCACACCAGCGGGAGGAGTGGTTCAGAAGCAGCACCTCAGGCTCTCCGGAAGGCACTGTGTCCTGTCCACGCCTGCTCCCATGCGACCATCCCCACTCCGCCTGGCCCGGCAGGGGCTGTGGACCCCTCGCAGTGACAGCCCAGGGAGAGACCGCATAGGCCAGGGAGGCAGGGAGAGTTTTGTTGGGAATTCTGGGATCCTACTGCCTGGAGTTGGTGCAGGGGAGCACAGCCCGAGGAGACCACATCCTGGTGGCCCTGCAGCCGCCTGGCCTGCGGGAGGGACATGCCTGGAAGGGACAGCATGAGGGGGGACCACATATGGGGGACTCTTTTTTCTTTTGAGACAGAGTCTTGCTCTGTCACCCAGGCTGAAGTGTCGTGGCATGATAGCTCACGGCAGCCTCCACCTCCTGGTCCCTGAATAGCTGGGACCACAGGTGTGCACCACCACACCCAGCTGGTTTTTGTTTGTTTGTTTGTTTGTTTGTACAGACAGGGTTTTACCACATTGCCCAGGCTGGTCTTGAACTTCTGGACTCAAGCAATCTGCCTGCCTCAGCATCCCAAAGTGCTGGGAGGGATTACAGGCATAAGCCACCACACCCATCCTTTTTTTTTTTTTTGAGACAGAGTCTTGCTCTGTCACCCAGGCTGGAATTGAGTGCAGTGGCCCAAGCTCAGCTCACTGCAGTTCAAGCGATCCTCCCACCTCAGCCTCCTGAGTAGCTGGGATCACAGGCGTGTGATCTCGCTCTCTCTCTCACCATCTACCCCTTGCTGGGCACCATGCCCAGCTGCCCAGCTAATTTTTAAATTTTCTGTAGGGACAGGGTCTCACTATGTTGCCCAGATTGGTCTTGAACTCCTGGCCTCAAGCAATCCGCCCACCTTGGCCTCCCAAGGTGCTGGGATCCAGGAGTGAGCCAGTCCCCCAGTCCTAGCAGTACTCTTGAGTAATGAACGTGTGAATGAGAGCACTCTGACTGGTCGCGTGGGGCGGCCACCCTCCTGAGGGACAGCGCACTATGGACAGGTGATTCCACCACTTCGTGTCTCCTTTTTTCATCCGTAATTTGGGAATGGTGACAGTGACTGTCCCACAGGCCTGGTGGGGTATTAATTCAGATAATACACGTCCCACACCTCAGATGAGCCTGGCACAAAGCAGCGCTCAAAAACACAGTTAGACCTTCACTTAACTTCCTCACTTCCTCCTTGGTTTGCCCCAGTGGGGGACCCTGCCGGGAAAGACGGTCTTTGATGAAAGGTCCGCCTGTTCCCAAGAGCGGCCCTAGAGGGCGCCCAGGCAGCGGGGCTTGAATGGACCGGGCGGGTTTCGCTTTCCCGCGAGTAGCCGCCCGCGGCCGCCAGGGGGCAGCAGCTGCAAAGGGCGCCCGAGGGCAGCCGGGTTGCGCCTGTGGCCACGCAGTGCAGAGGCGGCCCCATCAGAGCGCTCGGGCGCGCGGGCGCGGAGCCGGAGCAGTGACCCCGCCACCGCGGACCCTTCACAGGCGGAACATTTTGCACATTCTTCCAGACCTTTCCTAAATCCTTACCTGCCTGTACAGGCACTCGCGGAAAATACGTGATACTGCCTTGTGTGTATAAATTTATCCAGCTTTTTATTTTGAAATAATTCCCAATTTCGGGGCCGGGCGCGGTGGCTCACGCCTGTAATTCCCGCACTTTGGGAGACCGAGGTGGGCGGATCACGAGGATAGGAGTTCGAGACCATCCTGGCCAACATGGCGACACACCATCTCTACTAAAAATACAAAAAAATTAGCTGGGCGTGGTGGTGTGCGCCTGTAATCCCAGCTACTCGGGAGGCTGAGGCGGGGAGTCGCTTGAACCAGGAAGTCGGAGGTGCAGTGAGACTCCGTCTCAAAAAAAAAAAAAAATCCCAATTTACAGAAAGTGGCAAACACCGTGCAAAGAAACCTGGATATTCCTGTCCTACAGATTCTCCAGCTGTGAACATTGCCCGGCTATTCCTTCTCTCGCTCCTGTTTTGTGCCATTTGAGAATAAGCTGCAGACTCCAGGCTTGCTCCCCTGAACAGCTCAGAGAGTATTCTGGAAATAAACGAACTCCCTCCCAAGTAATTGCAGTGAACCTTGAAAACTCAGGAAGCCACCACTGATCCAATGTCTCCATCGATTCCGCAGAGCCCCTGCCAATTTCCCCGCTGCCTCAGTGAGTCTTTGTGGATCTAATGGGTCTTTGTGGGACGGCCCTCTCTCTAGCCTTGTCCGTTTCCTGCGGCTTCTTCATTTCCAGGAGGAACCCCTCAGAAGTGAGACTTCCCTCTTATAGCATCCTACCGAAGGCCGGGGCCAATCTGGCCATCACCGGTGATGACAACCCTCATCACTTGGGTACGATGGTGTCTGCCACCATTCCCCACTGAAAAGTTAATTAGTAAGCATTTTGCATTCATTAATGAATAAGCAATTATTACACCGTTTCTGGGGAGAGAATGTGAGGTTTCCACTATGAGGTCAGGCTTACCCTTCTCTCTCATGTATGTATGTGCAGCTCTCTGTCCATTTTGTCTTGCTATAAAAGACTACTTGAGATTGCATAATTTATAAGAAAAAAAAAAGTTTACTTAGCTCACAGTTTTGCAGGCTGAGAAGTTCAAGGGCATGGCCCTGGTGAGGACTTTCATTCTGTGTCACGAAATGGTAGACAAGGCAGGGCACCGTTGCTCACGCCTGTAATCCCAGCACTTTGGGAGACTGAGGTGGGTAGATCACCTGAGGTCGGGAGTTCAAGACCAGCCCGGTCAACAGGGTGAAACCCCGTCTCTACTAAAAATACAAAAATTAGCCGGGTGTGGTTGCATGTGCATGTAGTCCCAGCTACTCAGGAGACTGAGGCAGGGGAAATGCTTGAACGTAGGAGTCAGAAGTTACAGTGAGCCGAGATCGCGCCATTGTACTCCAGCCTGGGCGACAAGAGCAAAACTCCATCTCAAAAAAAAAAAAATAATAATAATCCAAGATCTGGGCACTAGGGGTGCTCACTGTTTCCAGAGCTGTAGAAAATATGTATGCCTATACACACACGTAGATATACATCTGTATTTCCAGCCATCCATATTGAAACTGGATTTGTACTGATATCTCCAATTTCAATCCACCC